TCTTTGAGCATATTTAATTGAATTGCATATCATTAGACTTTGGCATATTGCCTGGATTTTATTAAAATTGTTGGAATTAAAATTATCTTGCTAAAATTATTTTATTAAAATTATTGGAATTAAAAGTATGTTACTAAAATTATTGTTACTGACGAAGGGACGTTACCGAGGAAAAGTCGTTACCGAGGAAGAGACGTTACTTATGTATATCAGTTACTACGTTACGTTATTGATGTTATTCGTTAACTGATGCACATCTCGGATTCCCCCGCCACTCGTGCCAGAACTTCCTCGTTCGATTGTAAGGGCCTCGTCATCCTCGGGGCAAATGATGTCTTTGTTTTGTATCGAGTCGAGGCGTCGATCCGATACAAAAGAAGGGCATCGAGGGCAACCCCGCAGCGCGGAGATACCGAAATCGAGCGATTCCTTCTTGCGATTTAGGGAAATCACGGATTGTGCATAGCGTAATCCTCCTTGCGGTCTTCACGCGATAGCGCTCTGAATTGGACGTGAACTTGAAAATCGCTTCAAGCTTAAGTTAAGAGAGATGGAGAGAGAGAGAGAGAGAGAGAGAAGGCGAAACCGGGCAAAGGAATTTACTTGAAAGCACCACGATCCCCCGACATGCCCCTCGCGTCCTTCCGGGACGCATTCTCATTCCCCGCCACGACCGCCCTTCCCGGGCAGCATGGGCTTCCCGGGGTTCACGTGGGTCACGTGGGTCACGAAAGGCCCGCGCAAATAGAAGTCCCGCGCTCCGCTCTACTTCAGGGCGATTTCGGGGAGGCAAAGCCCTCGTTCGGCTTCCGTCACTGGCGTTACGTAACGTTACACCCGCATAGATGGCAATGGAGGGGCCTCGATCCGGAAAAAGGAATCCAGGAATCGTCGCAATTTAGTCGCAAAGCGACGAAAACGAGATCTGTAACTTTCCATCCGTACCGGATTCGCTCTGATGAGACGAGCTGGACAGGAGTTCCCGGACAAACAAACAACGGTATTATTATATAGATTATTATATAGATTATTATAGAGATTATTATAGAGATTATTATAGAGATTATTTAATTAAAATGTGAAATCCCGCAGATCGAGAGAGAATGTTGGGCTAAATTTGTTCTCTTCCTAACTGCAATGCGCGAACTTCGGCGTTAGATTCCAGCGGCAAGTTTCCGAATTTCCAGAAATGATGAGCTGGGATCTAAAAATAAAACATTAATCACGAATCATAGTAATTACCCTTCCGCTCATGAGAGCCTTAACGCAATCATCAATTAATAATTGTAATCGGTATAGTAATTATTATTTTCGGAGAACGCCGGCTTGCAGTCGTTCCGGTTCTGGCCAGTGTTTTTTTTTTTTTTTTTTTCCTTCACCCCCCCCCGGATTTCGATCCC